ACCCCATGGTGCAGTGTAGCTGGTTTGGTGCCATCGACGGTTGGGATCAACAGAGCCAGGTCAAGTTTGCTGGCATTCTTGGCCAAGTCAGCGACATGCTGCTTGGTTGTGAGGACGATGCCGGCACTGGCTTGTGACACCTGAAGACGGTGTGTCTGCACCATGGCCTTTCCGTCTGAACCCTGAAAGGGGATCGGGGCTTGGAGGGTCAAATCCTCCCAGCGGCTCTGGGTGGGCTTGGCCGACTTCTTCATCCATGGATCCTGAACCCACAGGGGATCAGGCGGTGCAGCCGCCGAGGGAGCGGACGGCTGGCTGGCTGCCGCTGCCTTGGTAGTGGGACTGCTGGTGTCCATGTTGGAGCCTGCAGCTGCCGCAAAGGTTTGCTGTGGGAACAAGTTCCTGCTGATGTTGAGAAGATGGTGCCGGCGCATGGTGTCTGCAAAGTGTAGCAGGTCCGGAGGAACAAGGGCCCTGGCCCAGGCATCCCTGGCTTGTTGCAATGTTGTTGCGATGAGTGCAGCATGCGGGGAGGTCTGTATCTCAAGCTCCTGACTGGTGGACAAAGGTGGAATCTGAATGCCAATGCGGTGGTAGATCTCTGCTACGATGTATTGCCCACAGAGGCCATGTGGGTTGGTTTGGTCCGCGCAGTGCAACAGGAAGTCTTGGCTTTGGCATCCCAGGGCGGTGCGGAGGTGCTGGATCAATGGTAGGAGTCTTCCTGTGGAATTGGGCGGAGCAGTAAGGAAAAATTGAGCCCGTCTGTCATCTTTGTAACACTCAGCCAACATCCAGTGATTGTTCTCCATGATGGGCCACAAAACATGTCGGTACGGTTGGATGTTGGGAGGCGGTGTGTTTGGATAAATGAGGCAATCCGCAACACTGTCCCAGATGGCTGGTTGGCAGAGCATGGTGTCTGGCAGGATCTTGCGAGGAAGGTCAAGCGCAGCATTGATCTCATCAGAACAGGCCCATGCCGGGTGGATGTTGAGCCCATGGAGCCGAGTGACGATACGCTCGTGGATGTGATTCAACTGGAGATTGTATGCCACCTGCGGCTGATGGGCAGGCTGGGGCTGGAAGTCGACCGGAAAGGCAGTAGCCAGTGGTCTCTGATTTGCGGGCCCGGTCCTGTCATGTCTGCGAGCAAGGGCTACAAAGAAATGCCTGCGCAGCCTCGTGGCAAAGTTCTGGAGATGTAGTGGAGCGTCAGCTCTGATCCAGTCTTCAATGGAGGCCTGCATGACCAGATTGATCTGGTCAGTGTGCTGAGGGCTGGTGGGAGCTTGGGCATCAATTTCGGCAATGTTGTGTTGCACGCCAAGTTGCGTGGCCCACCTGAACAGCAATTGCCAGCCACATAAGTGTGGTGTGTGATCGGGATGATCGTACTCGATTTGCATGCGGTGCGGTCCGACATCGATCAGTCTGGCAAGAATCAGGATGATTCTGGTTTGGAGCCGGACAGGCACATGGACTGTGGTGACACGTACCACATTGTTGGTCTTGACGACTTCAAAGCCGCACCAGTGGTTCCCTGCAAGGATGGGAATGTTGGTCTGGCCTGCATCCCACACAATGGGGGGTCCAAACGGTCCTTCATCAAATTCTGATTTGTTGATATCCCAATACACTGGTGGTGAAAAATGCAAATCAGCACCAGGTGACCAGGCCAACGACTGACAAATGAAGGACATTTCATCTGCTGCCAGCCAGCCGTGCGTGTTGGCCGCAAACTCTGCCCTCTGGGTGAAGTCGGCATCCTGGGGAAGCTGCAAAGGCGCACCACCACCATGATGACCACCTGCGCGTATGGTGGAGTGAGGTTGCAGGGTGATGAAGTCTCCATTGGAGAGGCTCTGGTCTGCGTTGAAAGGGAAGCCATTGATGTCGACGATTGCATGCGCACGGCTGCCGAGCTGGAATTGAGTGCCAACTTGCAAGGTTGGCGGGTGAAGGCAAGCCCAAATCGCCGGCTCGTCCTCGAAGCGGAGGAGGATGCATCGCTGTTCTGCTCTGGGGTCTGGTTGCCAAATGGCAATGGCTGAGTGGATGTGCTCGTTGATGTATTGCTTGTACAGGCCAATGGTGGTCTTGGCTATGGTTCGTACCCTGTGCACGAATTGGTCGTGTTCACAGGCAGGGATCCAACTGGAGTAGGATACCCCTTGGCTGGGCAGGAGCAAGGTGAAATTGTAGGCCTGGCTGGGCGGGTGAATCTGGCATTGCTCGAAAAGCGGGAAAAGCCCAATACTGGTGAGGTGTCGGATGGCTTGCTCGAAAGTGGCCTGAGGAACTGAGACGAGTGCAGAGGCCGTCTCCTCATGAGTAGAGTATGGCATCGTGGGGGAAACGACAAGGGTAGTGCTGTCTTGCTTCATTCGTTTGGCAGGTGGTGCCGGTTCAGCTTGTACCTGAAAAGTGCCAAATGCCGTGCTGCCGATGTGGAATGTGCCCGGTGTGCATTGGGCTGTGCATGTTGTGATGCACATGGCTTGGTCCAGTGGTTGGCCGTCGAAGGTGACAGTGATGAAGCGGCGCAGCATCTGAGGAGCATCAAAAGCGATGTCGATGCAATGACCAATGGTGGCTGTCGCTGATGCGAAGGTGGTGAGGGCGAGGTTGCCCTGGTGCAAACGAATATGGATCTCGTAGTCCCCATCTCGTGGGCAGTCAGTGCGGAGCTGAATGAACCGGGGACAATTGCAGTGCCTCGCTATGTGCACCCAGGGGCCATCTTGGAAGACCAAGGCATTGTCTGCGGTGAGCTTGGAAGTCCAACATGTCCTCACCTGATCGAAGATGTCGATGCGGATGGACAGGATGGATTGGAAACCAACGAGGACGGCAAGCAGGGAATGCGGCACAGCTATAGCGTTGCCTACCAAGCGAAAAGCCTCAGAGAGCTTGGATGGGAGGACTTGGTCTGTGAAGGCACCAAACATGGCGACAAACTTGGCAGGGTCGAAAAAAGCGAAACCTGCCGGTAGCAGTTGTAATGCCGCAAACAGTCCCTTGCGAGCTAGATGCTGTGGAGCGAGCAAATGTTGCTCTGTGTACGAGGCACAAAGCGTAGGCATCAATTCATGCTCATGGACCAAGCGGGCCATGAGGACCTGAGTGACGGTTGGTGCACTGCCGAGGGACATGGCCTTGGCTGACGGAAGGAATCGAATGTCCCCGTAGGTCTTCTTCTCCGTATCTGAGAGCAGCATCTGGTCGAGCCAAATCCTGGGCAGGGTGAACTCGAAAGAGTCGTGTGACCAATGAACACGAGGCAGGCATGATGGGGTGAGGCGAACGTCAAAAGGTCTGGCATCAAGGTCTGCTCTGGCCCATGCTCCTAACCATCTTGTTCTGCTCTGAGGAGAGACCTGGTGTAGAGTGGTATCTTGTGACCAAATCAAACGATAGCCGAAAAGACGTGCCAAATCGGTCAAAAGCTTAAAATGGTCGTGCCGGCTGATCCCGTCCGAGCATTCGGCGAGCACCAAAAGGGATTGGAACCCAAATGCCTGTACAAGCGCTTCTGCAAAAGCTAGCCCGTTTGTTGAGGACAGCCCTTTCCCGAGGCCAGCTTTCGACCAGCTCTGGCAGGGCGGTGACATGGTGACTATCAAGTTCAGCTGGCTTTGTGAAAGATTCAAAAGGGAAGAATCGGCCACATGACCACACACAGCGAGGTTGTCCTGTGGGGACCAGCTAATGAAAGGCGAAATTGGTGCTCCAAGCGCTTTCATGCCATGTTTCCTCTCCCACACCTGAATGACCTCAGGTGCACAATCGATGTCCAGCTGCTGCCCAATGTTTACTGCCAAGTCACTCGTATTGATCCAAGCCATGGCTTGGCCCCAACCTGCGAACCCACCTGAAAACAGGTGGATGACAGACCACGTCATGTCAGCATCAAATGTCGGTCTGGTGCAAATGGCCACATTGGTGTCAAAGTGCACCGTATTGGACGTGCCACCATGGGACATCTTTCCTTTGCAGACAAAATGTGCTCCAACATAGAAATTGATCGGCCGTTTCTCAATGTCAGGTATGGAAATGCTGTAGCGGGACTCACAAGCATCATCCAAACACCAACCCCTGCCAGGAAGGAAATTGAACAACTTCGTGTCGATCACATCCCCACAAATACCAACAGCTTCGCCAACACACATGCGCTCATCCCCGAACCGAAGGAAAGGACCTTCATGCCGTGCAGCATCGAGAAAGGCAGCCATGCGAGTGCGAAAAGGTTCCTCGACGGTCGCAAGCGCAGGAAAACGATCCATTGCAAAAGAAACCACAGGAATCTACGAGAAGCCTTCAGACCGCACAAATGGCTGGGCCTGGATGTCAGTGCCCTTGTAGACACTGCGTTCCCGGCTGGTGGCCGAGACCCGCAGTCCCGGGAGGCCTGTCCTCCACGAGACCCTGAGCTTTTGAGCCCGAAGGTCTTTATGTATATTATATATATATATATTATATATATGATAGATGACTCGATGATTATAGTATATCATATGATATTTTAATCTTAACTTAACTACTTGTCATTATCTTATATTCGTAACGTAACTAACTTACTTGACTTTACTGAAGCAACTAACACGACTCCGACTACAATTTTTTTGGTGACAAAACTAAACTTAAACAATTTCAATATACTCTATATATAGTTCAGAGATTTTTTTTTATAGTTCAAGATATTTAATGTATAGTTCAGGGGCATGCCCAGCTACTCGAGACAAAGAGGCCCACGCACCCAATAATGCATATAGCTTGTTTTATTCCTCCGATTTTCCGATGAACATGTTCAGTCTGAATGCACCAGTCATGCACCCCAAAAGACCAGAGTTTGGAGCTCTTACAGCTGCGATAGGGGAAACCACAACGAACGCGGTAGCAATGGGCGCCAGATCATGGCGGCAGTGAAATCTGTGCATTTGAACAGTCGGGTGAAATCTGGTCATTCTTTTCAATTGAGTTTCTTTTGAGATTCTCACCATAGCTGCCAACATAGGGCCGAGAAAGGGCCATTGGGACTCTTGGCCATAGAGCTGCCTAACAAAAAGGCTTCAGCGGCTAAAAGAAGCGCACACAAAGCATTCTTGTTTCAAAAAACGGCTTCAAGAAACAGTTCTATGTTGTGAAGACCACCCCAAAGGAGCTCAGCAAAGGGATTCCACTAGAAACAATAATGCGAACAAGTTTCTTTTTTCATGATTCCCGTGAGGATCTCCAGGTTTCATTTCAGCGCAGCTCCAGTTCCTCTTCCTCTTCCTCCTAATCCTCATCGTTCTCCTCCTCACCCTAGATGCTTTAAGTGGCTATCGTAGATGGACGCCAAAATTAAACGTCTGTACTAGGCCCTGTACAATAGCTCTGCTTCTTGAAATTACATACGCATGCACCTTGCAGAGTCTAGATACAAACCACTCAAAGAAGAACATACCGGCTGCTTGCAATAGTGTGTGGAACTTGTACAATGTATGATGACACACAATCTCAGGGACTTAGGCAACGTGTCTCGCCAGGGTCTTGTTTTTTTGTTTGTCCATGAACTGCAGGGACTGGATGCCCAAGGCAATTGCATTGTTTTACTTCCTTTCCCTTAGCATTGCTTCGAACCATCCGTCTGAGTTTTTGCATCTAAGACGAAGATTTCACCGGCACTCCCTTCTTGCGCAACATGGTGCATGAACGGATGTCAGCGGTCAACTGATATACTTACTGTAGCCCAAGCAAAGTCGCAATCTGCCTGGCACGCCCCATGACGTTCCTGCGAAAGTGTGTGCAAAAAAGAAGTTGCGAAGCTCAAGTGGCAATGATTGTTGACACATGTTGAAATGCGGACACAAATGCTGCAACCTAGCCACTAGCCGATGGTCGGACAATGCTTTACGACAATAATTGCAAATCACCCTTCTTGCATTACGAAATGAGACTTTCCGTCCTGACTAGGCTGCTGCATCGGAAGTTGGCAGCTTCTTTGGCTAGAAGGGCTGTTTCATGTGAAATTGATGTTTGTTGCACAATCGTACAAATTAATGGCATTTGGTTGACTGGTCGAAATCCAAGCTGAACATGAGGCAACACATCTGGCTTTTACACCAACAGGTGAACATTACTTCTCATTCAGCTGAGCACGTAATTGATTGATCCTGACTGCATGTGTTTTGAAATGTTCGACTCCTCGGAGAATGGCTCCTGGTCATGAATTAGCCTTGTGACTCATGCATTGTGATGCACTATCTGAACAAAACGTTGGAATACTTTGGAAGCAGCAAAGCTAGAATGGACCATTTCTCCAAACTAGCGACAGCTATATAGGGCGGCTCATGTTCAGCTGCCGTCACCAAACAAGTGTAGATCTCGGTGGTCGCCGTATCATTAAAAAAATGTTGCACCATTGAACGGATCTCACGATGATGGTCAACCCACCAAGCCGCAGCTAGCTGTCCGGAACATCATCTGTCAAGCCATATTTGCGAACGGATGCCAAATAGCGGGTCGTTTCCTTAAATACGCAAGCTACATCAAACAGCCTTCATCGTGACAATAAAGGGAGCGCTTGTACCATGGACATACTTCACAATTTTCTCAAAGTGTTGCCAAAGAGTGGCCTTGAGAATAAAACGGATGTATCCCCTTCAAAACTGGACCACCTTTAGCCCATGGAACTTACCATTAAACATGATCTTTTCTTATCCTAGGTCCTAGGTTCCTTTGCAAAGACTCCGCAATAGACTCATTTCGACACCTCCACTTAAAATTATTGAGGACAATTCGAAAACATGTGCAGTAATTTTGCAATTTCATGTACTTGTATAAAGAATGTCTCACTTATCAGTGTGTCCATTCTTTTGATGCAACCGTATGATCAAATCCTCCAACACTTGATAGATTTGACAATTCAAATGCTTCCATCCAAGACTCAACAGGAACAAATCCATCAATTTTTTCCCACAAGGAAGCATCCTGGCAAAAATACATTTGAAACACATATAAACAAATTATGTTCAATCTCCAAACCAGTCAAACCCACAAACAAACAGGTCCTCACATGTGCTGGAACGTAAACGACTCTCATCAGCAGAGACCTCAGGAACTTGAGCCGGACATCAGATCCATGAGAAAATCTCTCCACAGATTAATTCGACGTCTTCTAATTTTTTTCGAGCAGCACAATGACCGGAAGCATGCCGCATATGTCCCTTCCGGTCAAGGAGATATTGCTGATTCCTTGGATTTGTAAGGATCTACGACTTGTCGCTTCAAAAATTTCACTTGCAAACATGTTTTCAGGCAATCTCATAGATGAGTCACAAATTGTGCCCAGAGATATCACAAAAGTAGAGGATTGGACCTGTAGGATCCAAGCGGTCAAAGCATTCGATCCTGAGTTAGCAGCACACACTGCCAGTCTGCAGTGGATGAGAATGACCTGGCACATGTGACTTACAAGGTTTTAACCTTCGCAAGTGTCTATGTTGCTGCCACCGTGATGGTTACACATGCATTAGTTGATTGATATGATATTAATATTAGTTCAAACACGGATTGGCACCACTCCGCGCACGTAAGTCAGGGGTTTCCATCTGGAAGCTTGGGCCACTAGGGTTTTCTGAACGTTCGGACATGTCCGCTGTCACGACATGTCAAGGTATGAAATCTCTGACGTCTGAAATTCTAGAATCGGGGTGAGCTACAATGTTGAAAATCGTGCACCCAATCATCTTTGACAACAGCGCAAGATTGCGCAGCTGCGCTCCTGACCCCAGCTTGATATGCCGTGTGGGCTGTCTTGACTCCGACCCCGCTTGCACCAATGTCTAAATATTCACCATGGACGGATTCCAGTTTCTTTCAACCCACGGGAATACAGTGTCCTCTGACAAAGTGATACCGAGCCAGCAAGGGCGGCTATGCTCAGCCACAAAGGGAGGAGATCAGTTTCTGCAAGAGGAGCTACAAGCTAAAAGATGAAGGCCTACAGACCCAACCTGGAAACTACATCCAACACATGTTGAAGCTCTACGACGAGGAGATGGGAAAGGTGAAGGTTCAGCAGTTGCCGGCTGAAGGAGCAATCCAGATGAAGGACAAATCAGAAGCGCTGAAGGACCCAAAGAAGACAACCCTTTTCAGGAGCGCGTTTTGGCCCATCCATCAACAGCAAAGGGTTTCCACCGCTTGAAGAAGGTTGTGGGATACCTCAGGCGGTTAGCCTTGCCCCGTGTGAAGCTGAACTCATGCCATTGTCTCAGTCAGATGGCGTCTACGTCAGGGCAGTGGTACGGATTCCTCCAGCGCAAGGGAATTGGCGACAATGGGGCGAGAGGATGAAGCTCTGATGGTGGCGCAAGAGATTGCGCTGTGCTACGGCGTGTTGGAGAAGCCCCAGCGGCGCAAGATACAACTCAAGCCGAGGAGGAGCGCGCTGGATGTCGCATCACGACCTAGGCGTGAGACCTGCGCACAGCGTAGCCTTTTGTGGTTTTCAATTAGCGCGTATAACTGCGTAACTATATACAAGGTTCAAGTCGGCAAACAAACGCTCGTTGGGCCAACTGTCTGTTTGCCGTCCACTGAGCCTACGTATTCTCAGCAGCGCGCAAGCGATGGACGCATGCGAGGTGTTCTAGTGAGTTCTTTTTGCTCAACAGCTCCAGTTTGTTCCAGCCTCTTTGGTCAAGGGCCACGAGCCTCCTGGGCAAGGTCAAAGCGGGCAACGGGCATACGTTTCGAGCCACCGCGCAGCTGCACTTGCGCAATACGAATGTCCGGGTCGATCAACCCCGCTTCCACAAGGATCGATGGCGGTTTCAACCGCGAAGACTTCCTGGGAGCTAATAGAAAAGCCGTGGAGACACCAGTGAGTCAGTGACCCCAATATCCACTGTTCAGCTGCAGCCTTCCGTAGAGCACACCGCAGTGATGAGCCATCAATAGAGCTCAAAGGTCTTCCCTGACGCTCTCGGTAGTGGACGGCCCTCTCCAAGATTCTTCTCAACCTCCAACACCTTCTGCTTCGAGGACTGAGATGTGTCTTCAATCAAATTTCCATAAAGGACGATTCGAGCCTTTTTCCAAGCGTCCGGGGCCTTCACAGTGGGGACAACCTTGGCCGGCGCCACCAACATCTCGTTTCCCTCCTCTTTGATCAAGTCAGCAACCTTCACAGGTCGCACCGTTCTGGTGGTGCTTTCCAATGACGTCATCTCGTTCTTCAGGGCAGGAATCCACAATGGAAGATCTCTTCTCACTTGTGCCAGTGGGACCGTGTAGGTCTGAAGGACTCCATGAACCGGCGGTGGAACACCCTCCAGGACTGGCATCGCATTGCCGAATCGTTTCCAGCCGTTGCTAGCGGAACACACACACACACACGAGGTTTATAGTTTGCAGAGGTGGGGCTCTCACGTGTGGTAGACTTAGGCTTGGAGTGGCAGCGGGGAATGCAACTTGGGGCTTCAATCTTGCTTACGTTGGCGTCAAACTTCTTCTGAGCCTGGGCAAGAACACTTCGTCGATGTATCGCGCAGAACCTGTGAAGATCAAGTCAACCAAGCTCCTTCTCTAGGAAATCCGTACAGAAGTCGAGCCATGCCCTCTGGCCTGGCAGGTTTTTTCTTCGCCGCAAATTCTTCACCTCTCAGCTTCACTTTCAGCGGTGTCTTCGTTCTCCTGCTGTCGCTTCTGCAAGAAAATTCCAATAAGTATCTTCAGCGCGTGTCCAGAAGTGGCTGGTGAAAAGACGTCATCTCTCCCGCCATGCAGAAACAAGAACTCAACCTGTAGATGAGATCTTCCACCAGCCCCTGAGGAGGAGGAGGAGAAGGAGAAGAAGAAGGAGAAGGAACCAACGGCCACGAACGCCCCTGGAAAGACGGCGAACAAGCCCCGGAGAGGACCCAGAAGAGCGGGCGGACACAGTCGCGGATTCAGTTGAAGAAAGAGGCTTCAAGGCATGGGTGTCTGGAGAGGCCCACAGCGGACAACTCACAGATGAGCTTCTCGTCACAACACGTTCAATGCGTGAGGATCAGCGACGACAAGCTCTGACTTTTTGCGCTTCCTCATAGGAGTTGTCCTCCATTAAAGGGATCCCCTGGTCTGGCTGAAGATGAAGGTAGTCGTAAGGGAGCGGAAGTTGGCGCGACTTGGTTGCAATGCCTTGGTTGTGTGAGGGGCTGGGAAAGCGTTCAATTTCTCAAGAGTCTGCGTCTGCCGTCAACACCTTCTGCCTCTTTCCTGCGCTACTCTTGATCTTCCTTGTCTCTGTGCCCTCAACTCCTCTGCTGTCTGAGCTTCCCAGAGCCTGTGTTGGTATTGCTGGTGGCCCTGGTATGACTTCGGGATTCGGGAAGCCTTTGCCATGATTGCCTCTGCGTCCTCATCTTTGAACTTCAGCGTCACACGCTCCTGTCGGGTCTCACTCTTCCCCGCTACACCGGCCTTTGTTGCAATGACCCGGCCACCAAAGTTTGTCTGGTGTTCCCACGACAAGGCATTGAAGCTTTTGTAGATGGGGCAGGTACTTTGACTATACTCCATGATCCGTCCTCCTCATGCGCTCTCAGTGGGCGTCCTGGCTCCCAAGAAGATGTAAAGGGTGCCATCTATACGCCTTGTTTATGCTTTGGATGCACCAGCTCGCGTGGAGTTTGTTGTGACTGGCTGGAACATGTTCAACATCCGGCCTGCAGGTCTCCTGGCCAGGTCCACGGTCAAACCCAATGTTGATCCCCAGCTTTGTCTAAACCTCTCACTGCACCATCCCGCTAACTTCCTCACCCTGTCCATTGTGCTGAGTGGTCTCTCAATTGAGCCGTGTTGCAAGGCCAGGACTGTGCCGGGTATTCGCCCAGCTTCAGGATTTATTTGTCGTCGGCTCATTGTCACTCCTGTAGGTGATGGCTGGGTACCCCAAGGTCTGGCTGAAGCTTTCCTTTGCCGCCTTGCAGGCTTTGCTCTTATATAGCAAAAGTCAAAGCTCGCTTCTAC